AAGTTTCCTCGGGAATGTATCGTACATGCTGTGAGCATTGCCACATTTAACAGTATTCCCTTCTTCATCTGTTTTTATTCTTGATAGGGCATCTGCTACGATATTTTCCTTTCCGGGCGTGTGTTTAATTACCAGAATTATACTTCCCGTAACTTTAAGTGCCCATCTTATTAACCTTGGGGATAAGTAAATTTTCCCTGAGTATAATCTAGTTACCGCCGCATGATCAGAATACACTGTTATTGGCGCACTTTCAAAATAGACTCGGAACTTCTTGCACTGCTAACCAGAACTGCAATTGCCTCTCTCTCGGTCGCGGAATAATTTCTTTGTGTTTGATTTAAAGTTCGACTAAAAAATGCCACGGGCTGCTGATTTTGCGAAAGTACCGCTCCTACCGCATAATCCGAAGCATCCGCTGAAATTTCTAAATTCTCATCCTTTTCAGGAAATTTCAACACAGGGGTTTGCGTTAATGCTTGCTTTAATTTTTCGAAAGCACTATTGGCTTCGGTCGTCCACGAGAATGTTGCCTTTTTCCTTTTTAATTTTAACAATGGTTCAGCAATAGCTGCAAAATCTTTTATAAAGGACCTATAATATGAACAAAGTCCTAGAAAAGAAGAGAGCTTCTTCGCCGTATTCGGTGGCGGATACTTTTGCACAGCGATTATTTTTGATTCGTGTCTCGATTCCTTTCTGAGATATTTTGTAACCTAAATATTTTAATTCAGGGGCTGCAAATTTGCACTTTTAGACATTAACTTTTAGACCGGCCTCATTTAATAATGAAAACACCTGTCTTAAATCCTGTACATGTTGGTCCAGATTATCACTAGTAATAATGATATCGTCTAAATAGATAAATGTGGACTTTCCAAGAACAGGCCTTAGCACAATGTCCATACATCGCTGAAATGTTGCCGGTGCCCCTGAAAAGCCAACCGGCATACGCAGGAATGCATAAGTGCCAGACTTGGTTATAAAAGCAGTCTTAGGCACGTCCTCAGGTCTAACCCCTATTTGAAAATAACCAGTCGTTAAGTCTAAAGTCGTCATATATTTGGTAGACGTTATGCTACTTAGAATTTCTTCAATATTAGGTAACGGATATACCAGATATTTAGTTATGGAGTTTAATTTACGATAGTCGATCGCGAAACGCCACCTTTTTGGATGTGTTAATGGGTAGTCATTGTTTTTCTTACGTAAAACCACCGGGCTAGCATAACTACTTGAGATGGGCGTTATGATCTTTTTACGTAGTATATCGCTAATGTGCCATTCTATAATTTTTTCTTTATTCTTATCGAGCCGACATGCTTTGTGGCGAACTGGTATTGAATCTCCGGTGTCAATACTATGGTTAGTAACTTGAGTAAATCCTGGAATATCACTAAATAACGAAGCAAATTCACTTACCACTTGTCGGATTCTTTGTTGCTCTTCCTTAGGCAGGTGATCAAGGTTTAACATTGGCGGTTCCGATTTTTCTTTTTCTTCTCGAACTGGTTTCATCGTCAGCTTAAGGGACGCTTCATTAAAATCCAGCGTTGCTTCTGCCTCTGAAAGAAAAACTATCCCTAAGATAATATGTGCTTGCAGATTCTTTACTATAAAAAACATAACCTTTACTTGTTTGTCCTTGATACGGACGTATAGCGGTAATTTACCTATGCACTTACATCTTTCTCCTTGCGCAGCTAACACTGTCGTATTATCCGAATTATATATGCGGTATTTCCGAAAATACTTCCTAAAACAATCTTCTGCCACACAGGAACACTGCGCGCCTGTATCCAGGAGTGCGGTGGCTGGGATGTTATTCACCAACACTTCAATCTTCGGAAGAGTCAAATTTTTCACCATTACTGTATTTAACTTGAAGGAAGAGGGGTTTTCTTTGCCTTCGGATTTCCGCACCCTCCCGTCAGCAGAAATCCGTTTTAGTTTAAATCTTTTTTCATTTCCATGCTTTCCTTCTTTTTCCACTGGCCTTGAGACTTTTTTCCTGGATTGCTATTGAACTGTCGACGTTCGCCGGCTGTTTTTGGATGCTCGGGTTTCCTTGCCCACTGATTCGCTTTGCTTCCGTAGCCGTGTGCTTGAGTTTGCTGTGGTCTTGGCGCACCAAATTGGTTTCGTTGTTGATATTGGCGTCTTCTTTCAATGTCCGCCGTTCTTCTACTTTCAAACTGGATTGCTAGCTCAAATAATTTTTCCAGTGTAGTCGGATTCCTTAATTCAATAAAGTCTTATACTTGGAGAAGTAACCTCGGCAAAATCACTTAAATTATCTCAGGATCCGGACGGTTTCCATACAAGAGTTTGAAGACGTGAATTTTTCTTAAAATAAAGCTTGAGAGATTTTCGATTCTTTGCTGATATATGCTGAAAAGTTCCGTTTCTAATTTCGCACGATCCCTTACGACAGGGAAGGCTTTTACTAGGGCAGTCTTGAAATTTTCGTAAGTATAGGTGGGACTTCCTGCTTGACCCAAGAGACTTCTGCCTGTACATTTGAACCAGTTAAGCGCTTGGCCCCTCAAAGCGCTGGTAGCTAAGGTAACTTTCTGAAACTCGTGCACGGGGTTAGAGCATGAAGTGGTCATCTAGTTTTTTTCCAAAAAAACTGGTACCGGTGAGTTTCCATTAAATGTTGCTTCTGGTTTCATCGCTGCGCGCATGGTCTGGACGATGTAACCAAATCCTTCCAGGGCGGCAGCTGGCAATTCTGGATTCTGAGCCGCTTCTGCAGGCAGCACAGGTTCTTCTTGAAACTCGGCCATGGTTATTCTTCTTCGTTGGGCGCCACTTTCAGGTTCTATGTTCCGCCTTACTTTCCTTGGGAACATGCAAAGACCTGACTCGGAACAGGGAGCTTACTAAAGCTGTGTCCAATAAATGTGGGAAGTAGACAAGATACACAGGAAGGGTATACGAAACCCTTTATTTTTCACTCTTTAGAATAATTTCCGTTTATCGGAATACAGAGACCAACTACTTGTGGTCTGAACGTAAGAATATAAAAATATTAACTAAACTCTAACTTAAATTTGGAATAATAAACAAGGGCCTACGTGGAAGATTGGCCGTATATTAACAGGAAGCCGTATGTAGTACAGAGAACTGTTAACACTACAATACGTTTAAAATTATCAAGAGGATTAAACCTCTGGCCTGGAAGGCAACCAGCAACCGAGTAAAACCGCTAAGGCAAGCGGCCTGCTTCGACTAACTCCTTCCTCTCTCTCGCTTGGCAAAAAGCCACAACTTAAGTACTTGGCGTTCGCCAGACAAATTTACATAAATAAGTTAAAGCTTTTAATTCTGGCCGGAAGTAGAAAATAAGAAGTGATAGTAAAGATTTAAAATAAAATAAACGTTAGTAAAACTTAAGATCCTTACACTTCTAACGTAAATAAAACCTCTTGCTTGAGGTATTTCCATGTAAAATATTAGCACATGTTAAACAGAGGAATTAATGCATTAAAAATAATCTCTATACTGAGAAATTAATCTCTGTAGAAATGTTTTCGGCAAACATAAGTTGTCCATATTTATTTAGGTCATACAGAAATGAATGACACAAATGCTGCCACAGAGCGGAATACAATTTATTAACAAAAAACTGATATTATATCTTATAAATAATCCCCGTCCTTGTCAATACACTTCTGCCATCTGGTTGGGAGGTCCCAAAGGGCTTTGGCAAACCAGTCTGTGTGGGAGTTGGTGCACCACCTATAGACAATTGCATGTATTTCGGCAGAAGATTCAACATGTTGCCCCTGACTGCGTCCTTCATATTGTCAAGTAAGGCGTAGTCCGAGGTCTTGGTTCGAGGTCCGAGGTCCACCCACTTTGCACACACATTTGTCATTTCCAAATCACCATGCACAATCGCCTGCAATATTCTTTGCGCAAGCTCTGTCTCTTCCTGCATCTTATTTAAACGTTATGCGTCTGTTCGCCATGATCAAATCCGACACGGCTGCCCACATTTGCTGCTGTATGCGATGTTGCTGGTCGTCCCGCAATGACACCTTTGGCTGCGGTCTCCATTCCACTGCTGAGCTTGGCCAACCAACGGAATACGGTACGCCTTGAGGGTGCTTTGTTCCGGCACACCGGCACCATGCGATGAAGCATCTCCCTACCCTGTATCCCTTCCGTCCATAGGAAGCACGCTGTCACACACTGACCATGATAATCACCTTCTATCATTACTGTCCACGCTCTCAATGACGATGGCGAAAGGGACGGGCGCTGACTTACACCGTTTGGGGCTTGCGGCCAGCTCCATCTATGCATTCTGAGTAGCCCACGCTCCCTTATGTCCATTTCACTTGTTTTCCCTTGGCATATTGTAATATTTTTGTCGTGAGAGCCGTTGTGTCAATCATTTCTGTACGATCCGTATGCTTCCAGCATTCGTCACGATACTCATCATATCCTCACCGTACTCATCATAACATTTCCGTGGAGATTTCTTATAAGATTCCCACTCCTGTATTTACTTTCTGCATTACTTTGGTTAATATTGTTTTTGTTGTAACGTTTTCAGCTGGTACCAACTCAGATGATTTAAATCCCGTTTCATCTCTTTTTAGAAAGATTATTATTTAGCATTATTCTATATTCTAAAGGCTATTATAGGCAGCTTTTCTTCTGAGGAAGATATCTCCTGTTCATTCTGGGAATTAAATTCTTACACTTTTGTTTCTACCAGCTTTGATATCACGTTTGCGATTAAGAAAGGTGTATGCAATTATTTTTGACAGATTTCCGTGCATCAGATATATATTTTTGCTCATCAAACCTTAACAATAACTTGCAGTATTTTCTTTTCGTATTCTTATTAAGTGTGCGTGTTATTGTAATTATTTATGCTTTAATAAATATTTTAATTCCTTTTAAAACATAAATTAAGGAATGGATTTTTCTTTCTTTTCTATTTGATCTATTTGCACTCAGTTTTCAAATTTGTGTTTTTCCAGGGAACGGAAAGAACTTCAACCAATGGTAAATCTGTCCCAGCGGCCAAAAGTCTTTTGGCGCTTGTCTGATGTGACTGCTGTACCCTATTTTCCCAGTTATGAGAGATGACGACAGAAATGTAGTCTCCATGAGACGAAAGTAAACATTTACCGAAGACTTTTCATTACCACCCATCCTTTCTTCATACTTTATGTGCAAAAATGTATTTATTGAAGTATTATCGCTTTCAGATGAATGATAATATTCCTTGCGATGAAATGCCATTCTCTGTGCAATTAATGTGTTCACAAATGACTTTTGAACATTTACAATGAAGTTCTCAGTTGTTCAGAAATACTTTGACAAACCAAATGTATTATACGGAAATAGAATATTATGACGTTTCCTGAACCTATTTTCATTCAAAGCATATATATTTAAACTGTGCTGTTTATTTCAAATTAACTGAAATTACCAAGATGTACACTAGTACTGCTGAGTATTCTTATGACCATCCTTTGAGTATAAACATTCTGATTATATTCCTGAAATGTACTTCCTAGTGTGCTGCATACTTCTGAAAACGTCAGAATTTGAATAATTTCTTCGATAATTGTATGAGTGTTTATAATCGTAATGTGTTATAAGGTTATAAGTAAGTAGATGTGGAATACCTTACCAAGTTTCATAACAAGAAGAATATCATGTCTATTTATTGACGAATGCTTTTCTGTTCTGATTATGTTCTTTTTTTCCTCTGAAATTATGCCAAGCCTCATAATTGCAGTTGAAGATACATAGTATCGTGACGACGTGTTATCGTGGTACATGAAATTGAAACATGATGAACCGTGTGTTTAATATGGAAGGTTTCCAGATTTCGTATATATACTGCGATGAACATTCTCAAAAGAGCTTATCCATAACGAATGGATGGGATCTTTAGAATTAATCATTTTAACTCGTCCATTTTAAAGGATTTCATATTACTTGATCTCTTTGTGGTTATAAACTTTATAAAGAATTAATTCAAGAGACTAATTTATTTTAGCTTTCAAAAGAGTTATTTAAAAATAAGACTGTCAATCCTTTGGGAAGAAATAAAGTACTTTTCACCCCACATCCATGTAAATCAGGAAACATCCAGGAAGTACTACCACTTTTTATTACTATCAAGATTATTTGACAGTTTTGTTTCACTAGAATTTGTGTATCTAGAATAACTAACTTTTATTTTCCTTTGCTTTGTTTAACTGTGATGGCTTACCAAAAGAAAAATAATTTATTATACATTTATTAATAAATACAAATTTCTTTTCTTTTGCTAGACATTTTAATAGTATAAAACACATTAAATACAAGAACTATTGTTATTTTTGAAATTTTGAAAGGGATGATTTTGTAAGTTAAAAATATGTTTTATTTATGAATACGTTTTATTTTTGAATAAATTTTATTTATGAATTCAGTAGAATTTTAAAACGCTGTTGTTTCCTGATTTTTTCTAGTTTTGTTCAATAAAAGTATCAATTCATTTATGTCATATTATTTGAAATCCAAAAATAAAAGAATGCGTCCATTTATCATTCTAAATAGTTTAGGCTTTTACTCGAACTGTAATGTATGTTATGAACTACTTTATTTCTTCCTATATTCACCATTTGTTATATTTTTTTTTGTCACCTGATTTAGCATAAATCATGCAAGAAAAACCGAAGTTGTGAACAATAGATAAATATTGACTTGATGATTCATTAACTGAATCATGAAAGTTTTCATGAACTTTTTAACTGTATTTATCTTTCTTCATCATACTCATTGTATTATTCCATAAGTATTATATGCTGTATATTTTCTCAGATGTTGTATATAAGTTGAAATGATGTTTAAGATGTTTTTCTGTAGTTTCAAAATACATAAACTGTGTTTGATGTATATTTTCTGTAGTTTAAAAATATTAATTTACTGTATGTATCTTTCTAGAGTTCAAAATGTAAAAGTATTAAGAAACTGTATTTTCTGTAGTTTAAAACAAAACTGGTGTATTTATATTTGCTGTATTGAACCAATTATTAAAATACTGAGAAATGTTAGTAATAAATTTTATTTTAAATAAAGTATGAGGCCGCATGCAAAATAGCCTTAAATTAAGTAAAATGTAGTGTTAAAAATAGCCGTAGGTTATTAGATCTAGGATGTCTTTGTTCCTCAACAATGTTGTGTTTTCTGTTTCTAGCACATGAACAGAAAAAATGAAATTAATTTCATAATTTCATCACAGATTTTTCAGAATAATATATATATTTTTGTTGTTGTTATTTTTGTGTATTATTGCTTTAACGAAATTTCTTGTTCTAACCACACTATTCCTATTTTTATTGCTATTGTGCTAAACGTTCTTGTATCAGTATGCCTGCGTTTTTAATAAAGTCTTAAATCTCAGTATAAATTATGATATCGTATGCCTTGTCGATTTTGGATCTTCTGATCTCAGTAAGGAATACGATTTCTCTAATATTAGTACCTAACGTGTGGATTTGCGTTAAAAAGTGGTTACACTTTCAACTGATTTCATGACTAAATTTTTGAGTATTTTTAAAAATAGACTTAAATTTTGGAAGTCTAAACTTTGATATAACGTAATCGGCTAGTGAAATTAAAAGGTAAAGATTTAGATACTGAAATTTAGCATCATAGTCACCAGTTTATAACATATTTTAGAAAGGAACTATAGTTTGTATGTTTCTTTAGTAGAAATATATATTCCTGTATGTATTCGTATTTAGTAAATATATATAACTTAACGAATATTGCAAGTGCTATATTTGTAAGAGTAGTAAGAGTATGCGAGTTAGGAAATTTATGCCATTACATATACCCGTCCCGTTGGTATAGCAGACGCCGATTAATATGATCGCGGTTAATATTATCATTTGGATATTGTTATCGAAATACTGAAAGTTATATACGAAAACATGGGAAATGCATCGCTTATTGTGATCAATAAGTCATTTAATTTATTCAAGATATTACAGAATGAAGTATCTAACTGAAGTAATGTCGCAAATAAGGTCAAAATAGATTATAAAAATTACCAAATGACACAGAAAAGTCACCATGTTAAAAGATTAATTCCCCAAACAGCTTATTTTTTATATTAGTCAAGTGTTTATAAGTAAGCAAAAAAAGCAACCTTAATTTGGCGTCAAATTTTGAATAATTTTGTCGATTTCGAGGACAGTCAGACGCAGGTCCCTTCAGAAGCAATGGAATTCTGTAGAATTTTATTTATTTCCTTTTTTCGGGGGGGGTGGAGGGCTGCTAATAAAATGATCTGAAAAAGGTTATTTCAAGCTAAACTTTGTTTTATACCTAAATTTTAAATTTTACATTCCCATGTTCTCTTCCGGACTAATTAAATCAATTATTTATAAAGGAACTGGTTTTTAAAGTTTTATGAAGATTTGCTGGGTTAAAAACTTGCTTAAATACCTTAAATACCTTGCTGGAATTCTAGATAACCTTCTTCTTACTCTCCAAAAAATTTCTGTACTGTATTTGAGCTTTGCATTCATATGACTGTTCTGTTCTAGGAAGCACTAACCATAATGATCTTATTATAAGGGGAGACTGCTAGACTGAACAATGAGATAAATGCTTTTCAACACTTTTTGTGCGAGATTTTAAATAATCGTTAAGGTATTATTGAAAAATCAAAGCCAAATCGGAATAAAAGTATGAAACAGATATCTGGTGGGAAAAATGATTTACAGAAATTCTTGAAAATGATGTGACGGTCAGTAGTCCGGTGATGCGGTAGAAGGCTGAAAGATTAACCGTAAAAATGGGAATATGTGTTTTTATAACAAATACGATTGGTTTAGCTAATGGAAGTGTACATTGTTTTGAAACGAATTAATAGTGAAAGAAGATATTCTGATTTACCAACTGTAGGAAAATAGTCGATGAATGGTTTAAATTCCCTACGAAGTACCGTCCCGAAAACATTTATAATACGGACGAAATAGATGTATAGTATTGTATATTGCCCCAAAATACATATTTATTTATAAGCGAAAGTTCGAAAGCTGTAAAATATAAAAACAAGCATGTGATCGTGTTATACTGTTGGTTAAAAAGAGAAAAAAGCTAGTAATTAGATGAAAGGGAAAAAATTCGTTAAAAGCGTAAACAGTTTAACAGTGGACTGTGGCTATAATTTAAGGTGCTAATAATATAGTAATTTTTAATGAATGGCTTTTGAAATAGGATAACGAACTAAAGAATGAACTCTGTCTTTCTTTCTGACAACTGCGCAGAGCATAATATGAATGACTCTCTTAAGCATATACGCACAGCCCTAATTCAACGATGTGATCAGTGGTTTGGAGAGGTGAAACAAATGTGAGTGAAACTGAGTCTTGGAATCTTTTGTAAACATCGATGATACGAAAATAAGTTGAAATTCAAGCAAAATTAACCTTCTCGTGCTGAACATGTCTTTTAATAATCGCGTACATAAATAACGTTTTAATAACCTTTTAATAAATGAGTAAATAGAGAAGGAAAAACTCAACGTCTCCTGGTAGCATGAATCGTGATGGAAAAATTCAAGTTTCATTATTGACGATAAAGGAAAATAATTGACATTCCCTCTCTGAAACCAGTTATGCGTGTATTTCATCTAATAATGATAAACATTCTGAGTATGATGAAAAATTGGTTAACTCCCTACAAACTCTGAGATGAAGGATGCCGTCTGAGTATTAAGATTAGAGGTAGAGCATCTATCAAGTAATTTCTATAAATATTTATAAGCAGTTCATAAATAAACTTTTGCGTAAAACACTTATGAACCTTTGAGTAAAATACATTATGAACAGTTCATAAACGAGCTTTTGTATTTATTAATCAGAATCAATCAGAATCTCATGATAGCAAATATATATATGTTTCTGTCATGTATTGTTCTTTATACATTTTCTAATTATACTAAATTAATTCATTTCCATTGCTACCTTAAAGGATGTTTTCTGTCATTGTTTGAATATTAACAAAATAATTATTATTAACTCTCTGACCGGCTTAGCCTTGTATATACGAACTACAATATTTTTTGTGATGTTCGTAAGAACGTATATATCCATGCATCTTGAAATATATCCAAGAAATTAAAGCAATGTATTAAATGTATATAAATTCAGGTATGTGGTTGGTAAGGGCATTTTAGCATTAAAATAAAGGGAATACCTCTTTCTGATGGCAGTTTTCAGAAATTTAGACTTTCTTAGTAAACCCAAGTGTCACTCAGAGGATTAAAGTAACAGGGGATAAACGTGATCACATTAAGCGATGCCTACAGTAAAAAGCATGAAGTATTACTATCGACAAGTTTGTTTCTCATTGCTTAAGTGTCGTTGTGAAAGTTAGTTGGCATAAAAATATGGAGTAAAATATTATATACTCATGAAGTCTTTAATCTTCAATTGTAAGTACACATCTGGTAACTTTGGGTGAAATTATTATTTTCAATAATTATAAAGTCGAAAACTCCTTACAAATAGCATTTTTACAGTAATCTCAAAGTTAATGGATTTGGAGATTTACGAAAGGAAATCGCTAGTTATTCTTGAAACCAATGTAACGCAACTAAAGATTAACACATGTAATTAAATATAATTAATAATGTAAACTAGCGTTTAAACATAGCAAACTTGATGTTCTCGATTATTTTCATGCAGAAGAATATGTGGTTAATCTTTGGATTATGGTAACTTGACGATTTTGTGGCGAAAATTTGGCGACCAACCCTGCTACAGCAACCTGCTAGTTTTTGTTTGGACGCCATTTTGTTTTCACAAAGTAAAAGTGTTTTTTTTTTTTTTTATTTTTAACTCAACATTTTTTTCCAACAATCTGCTAGCCGAATTACGCTTATGCTAGAACTTTTATGGAACAAAAATGCTTAATCATGACAAAGATTAGGTGCGAAATTGGGAGAAAGTGCAGAATCGCAAACTGCTTGCCGCGTTTTTAAGAATTGCACATACACGGTATCCATGTACACGTCGACCTATTTTCACTTAAAAAAACATCCCAGAATTGCACAAAAATGGCATTGCGCACACTCTTGACTTTATCCATGCTAAAGTCCTAGCTAGTAACCTTTATCGCCTTACCAAACTGTCGCCAAGCTACCTGTTACCATATTCCAAAGATTAGCCGAATATGTTTAACTGAAATTCATGCTTAAAGCATAATAAATTCTGCTGAATTATCCATTTAACATTCTTTTTTAATCAATAATTTTTCTTTTAATATTAATTATGAACCTTCTGTTCAAATTATTACCTTTCATGTGAACAAATTTATTTGCAAAGGAAAGCTTATTTCTGCATTCACATCGTTTTATCAAAGTTCCGAAAATGTTTTCTCAAAATCATTTACATCATGTTTGATATATCATATGATGTTCTGTCTGTTATTCAATTCTTAAACATCGTGCTTCCATCTGAAAATATACTCTTATACTTAAAACGTAATATTTAATTACGTGTATTTAAATACTTCGTTTGGTTGCAAATAATTAAAAGGTTAAAAAACATTGCAGTACAAAATTTACTAGAAAAAAGGGTTATAAATACCACACTCTCACAGAGTAATTATATCAGCGATAGAGAAAATAGATTGAAATATTAACATTCATAACTATCTGTATCTCTTTTTGAGTTATCAGCTTTCATAGTACTTCTGAAGATTTTATAAATCTTAGATTTCTAAATCTTAGATGATTAGATTTTTAAATCTTAGATTGCAAGTGATTAAATTTAAATACATAAATTTACAACATCATGAAAAAGACTGAATTAAATGTTATAAAAGATGCTCTTTATTTAATTATAAACCTTTGTCTGTTAAATGTAAACAATTCTATTTACAGCAGTATGTGAGTAATCAAATATCATATAAGTAATCAAATATCATATAAAAGTGGTATTTTAAAAACATAATAATTTTCTTATTTAATGATGAAGCTTTTATACCAGTATGCTAAACCAACTCTCACGTACTGAGAATTAATTGGATTTTACTT